ACTCTAAAATTGAGTATCAACGAAACAAACGATGCTCATCCAAAAAAACACAATTATGTCAGATTTTCTTTTAATTTTATAGTTGTATATTTCTTATTGCATAAAACTAAGAACTCTTTGTATTATATCTGTAATTGGAAAGTAATTTTAATTATCATTTTCAACTAAACTACCACCACAATTTAAATTTACGTATGAAATCCTTAATGGATAGATTCCTCTATAGAATCACCTTTCTTCTTCTGTTTTTAAAAAAAAATGTATATGGCAACAAGATTACATGGGTACAGTTGTTTATAGACACATTTCTTTTTTTTATGTTTTATTCTCATAAGAAATGATATGGCATTATTGATCCGATGGGATTTTAGCCTTGGAAGCATTTAGCATTAGTAGACTTTGTCTCACCTAGTTTTGTTTTGGCAGATAAAGATTAATCCGATCAATAAATAATGATTACAAACTGTGCAGAAGTCTCATTGTTTCCTCATGAAGAAAACAAAGTTAAAGGCAGCGACAACGTTACTGTATTATTTAATCTTAGCAACTACAAGAATCTATTTTATTTTGGTATTCCTTTGCATATAATTTTCATAAACAGTACTTGTATTCCAAACGCGTATACCACTACAATATTAAGGGTATGACGAAGCAATCGTTAAGAAGTTTAATCTGTTTAGACTTCATATTTTGATCATAAGTAGACTGCAATCAGGTATAACAAAGAATGAAGATGGGTAAAAGATAAAGATAACATTCACATCTTTGAGAAGAGATTAAAAAACTGATATATATTTGTCATTTGATACCTATTAGTTTTTGTTAATGAATTACATGAGACATCTTTGCAAAATCTTCTCATACAGTCACAAATTTACAGCTAGTGTATTGGAACACCTTACATATGTTGATATAGAATAACACCCATCTTTGCGAATTTCATGATCAATGCAAGCACACGTATCACACAAGCCTGCGTTTATACGCTATATAATTTTGTTTCATTGCTCACAACATTTTCTCTTTGAGGTTTCATTTGAATAGTATTTCATCTAATACTAATTTTTGACAAAAGATAACAACTTAATGTTTACGTACCATTTTCTATAATCATGTATTGATCAAGTTCCGTCTCTTTATAGTTTTTCATAGAACTTGAAATAAAAATCAATACATTCGTTTTCTTTATTGTTCGATTTTTCGTTTCTTTCAATTTAGACGAAATTATCTGTGTTGACTCTTTAAAATTTCTACTCGTCCAACTTAACAGCAGTGATCGAGAATGATCAAACAATCAAAAGTAAGGTCACGAAGCATTTAGTTTATCTTCTGTCAAATACGAAACAAAGAAAAGATAAAGAACACTGATCATTCTTTTTTTGTGACTCGTTTACACGAGCTCAACGCTGATACACGATCACCTATATAATATAAATTGTAGTGAAGAAAAAAACGAGTTGCATTCATTGAAAGAAAACAATCATAGACTTCAGCAAAATTTTCTTCGAATGCGCTTTTCAAGTGAATTCAATAAGTTTAATTCAACAAAAACATATCGATGATGCACTACTTGGTATAGGTGTACCCTCAAAAATTCTCATTTTACGTCCTGCATTAACTACTTCCATTTTTATTTTTTAATTCTGATCCAAACGAAACTATGTAATTCATTCTGTATCAAGCTTTCGGCAGCAGTATTTTAAAAATCGAAGGTATATGTAGCGAAAGAAAACATAAATAACAACAAAAGTTCTTTTTCTTTCTTTAAAATTTTGACTATTTTACCTGATTTAATAGCTAATTCAACTGGTATTAATTGTTTGCTTTTTTTCGAACTTGGAATTCGTCTAGTAATTGAATATCAAGAAGACTCGTGATAAACATGATTGCTCATCATGCAATTGAACATTGTGATAAAATGCTACTCTCTCTCTATTTCACACATACTATAGTAGTACGACTTTTGTTTTAATAATTGAACTAATAAGGGCCTATATAGAATGAAACAAATCCAAAATTGATTCTTTTTTGAATGGGACGGATTCGGAATCAGTTCATTTTCTTCTAACTCGAACTCATACAAATAAAAATATGATGCAAAACAGGATCCATTTAGAGTAGACTCTATTGTATAGTATTGAGTAAAATTAGCAGCTTAATTACCTAGTTAGACAAATTGCACAAGTTACTTATTAAAATCATATGTTATGGCTATATTTCGATCTACTGTACCATGCTACAATAAGATTTACCAACGACATGAGCAGTGTTGAAGAATTTCATTTCTTTTGCATTGTGACACCTATATCTATGTGATACAGGCGAACTCTATGAGACTTTTTTTACCGATAAAGACTATTTATTTCAATTGGCACTAAAAATTTCTTTGATTTTTACAAGTTGTCTCTATATTCTCAGAAGCTTTCAAAATACTGAGTTATTTCTTTACGAGCATGACTCTGTCGAATAAAACAACTAAAAATAATGTCCGCTACGAAATTTTCCTCCTTTTTTTTATAGGTGAATCGGAAAGGTTTAAGAATCCAAAGAAACTATATTGTTGCAATAAAAGTTCATCTTTTATGTGATTCATGAGTGGTGTAAAAATAATTTTATTGTTCAAGGAATGAAGTTTTATTATAGAGAATGTAGCGAATTCAGGGTATCTATGCACAGATGTGCTTTCTAGTAGTGTGTCAGGTAAGCACCTGACTATCAGTATGTCACAGGATCTTGGTCAAATACCCTGCTAACAGCTATCTCAGTATCCATTACAGTACTTGCTTAGTCCTTAAAGAATTCTGTGGAAATTACCAAAAACTTATTGGATTGAACAGTTAGAAGCACTCTGAAGTACTTTAGGATACATACTTAGGTAGTCAATGGCTCCTGCAAGATACTAGTAGCAGGGCATCTTGAATTCAATACTTTCACTCGAGATGCTTATACAATAAAGTCACATGAAAACTGCTATTCATTTTGGAGACCAAAATGAGATTCAACAAGATGCGAAATTACACTATTTTAATAGAACTTTAATCCACTTCCACAGCAGCATGTCATCCTATAATAGAAGAACAATCGGAATAGAGCACTAACAAAGAAAAGGGCGATTCACTGGAACAAAATAGAAGACCATGTATACCTTTCTATTCTGAAGGATGTTTTAGTCAATAAATCTCTTTTTTACAAACATAACGGAATAAAAGTGGGGTTTATATCATTTGTCAGCATAACATCTCAGATCTTGTAGCACGTTTAATGATCTATCGATAATATATGTTCGATGGGATCGACAGTTTCGTCACATTTGTGAAGTCGAATTTTCCACATTCGAGAATGACCATTGACTGACAATGTGGGGTGTGGGTGGGTGTGCGTGTGCGTGTGGGTGAGTGTGGGTGTGGGGATGTGGGTGTGGGTATCTGTATTGCATTCACTCCTAAACCCACACCCACCCATACCCACACACACCCTTCGATACAGAACATTTTATTGTTTGACACATATCCATAAAGAAATGCATATAATCCGGATGCGGATGGAAAAAATCGTGATGATTAGAACAAATTCGATCCGATCATACATTATAATCTTGCTTATTTGACTTCTTTACAACGGTATGCTCAAAGTCATTTGAAAGATTCTTTTCATAGCTGTCAGAAAGTAGTTGAATAATACCTCAAATATTTCCCATCGGCTCATCCTGCTGTGAACTATAGTATTTCGAGAAATCATTCGGTTGTATAATATTGCAGTCAATTTTGAAAATTGGCAAAAATATAAAGAAATATTGAAACATATTCAATGCACAATCGAGGTCGTGGAACTTTCACAATTATTCAATTGAACCGAGCTCGACAATTGAGCTGAGTTTTCTAATCAAATGGAACAGGAATCTAATAAAGTCTTATTTTATTTTATTCTTTCTCTTTCACAATATTTTCGATTTTGAATAAAGATCTTTTATAACGTAATCTTATAAGCAATTCGAATAAGACTATTGTGCTTTTTTCTCGAAAGAAATAAAATATTCTGACTATACATATTAGTCGAATTAGATCAGTATTACGCAAAGTCTCAAACAAAAACCTTCAACTGATCTCGTGTTGTATGTTGGTTAATATTAATTTTATTCCAATCAATCTATTGGCTTTTTTTCACAATATTCAACAATACAAACAGATTACCTTCTACTTTGACTAGTTATTTCGAGGGTGTGGGTGTGAATGTGTAACCACTAACATCCATATTTATGTGAGTAGAGCTAATAGAAGCAACTTATAAATTGATGAGTTATATTATTTATTTATGTTATCCAAATTGATATGTATTTTTAGAGTTTCATTTTATGTTTTCTATCGGTTGATCTCGAACATCAATTAGAGACGATTTCAGCTTGACAATAGGAAAGCACATTGACTATTATGTTTTATTTTTAGCAGCATTTCAATCCGAGTATTTTTACATTGACAAAGTAAAAATGAAAACAAAAAATAATCAGAATACGATCATAGAGTATCGATAAACATCGATTATTAAAATATTTATTTACTAAAGAAGAACGATATCAAATGATGAAACTTGTCACACTTGTTTCATATTAGATCATCATAATTCACCGAAGAACCATTCATTTATACAGGGCGTTGATAAAATACAGAAAATGCCATTAATAAGATCTTGTTTTTCTACATTTGACACTTGCTCTTTTATAGTAGGGCAGCAATGGTTCTATGAAAAATGAAAGGTGCCATTTTTTCCAGTGTTATACCAATAGAGCACAAATAGAGTTAAAAAAGAAATCAATAAATTTGTCTTTCATAATACACAACACCATTATTAATGCCAAAAAATCTTCTTGCTATTGGAAACTAATGTCAACATTTGAAAGTATCTTTGGTTGGTTGAAATTAATACCGAATATAAAAAGAGATAAGGCAATACTTGTTGATTCATTCATTCTTATCTTCATTTATTTTTGCATAGTACGATCAAATATGACGGAAGACGTGACGCCGACTCCAATCATTACAACTTCTATTGATCAACCACTAGGTGATATTGTTGAAAATTGGACACCTCGTCTTCATCCTCTTGCTAATCCACAATATCACATTCTTCAAGGTCAATATTGTCGACTTGAATTACTTAATTCAAAAACTAATAATAAAACTATTCAACAACTTTATGACGCATTTAAACCAACGGAACAAACTCATTTTTTTTATTTACCATATGGACCATTTAAAACAATTGATGAATTTAAAGATTTTATAAATTTGAGAGAAAGTGCTACTATTCTCTATAGTATTATAGTTAATGATATAGCTGTTGGATTTATTGCTTTTCTAAGAGTCAATCAAGAACATGGTACAATTGAACTAGGAAGTTTAAATTTTAGTGCACAATTATCACGGACTCGTTCAGCTACAGAAGCAAATTATTTATTATTACAATATGCATTTGATATATTAGGTTATAGAAGAGTAGAATGGAAATGTAATGCATTGAACGCCAAATCTCGACGAGCAGCATTACGATTAGGTTTTCAATATGAAGGTACATGGATCAAATCAGCCGTAATGAAAGGTCATTCAAGAGATAATGCATGGTTTAGTATTGTCGACAATGAATGGGTACAATTAAAACAAGAATTTCAACGTTGGTTGAATCCAACAAATTTCGATAGCAATGGACAACAATTAACAAAACTTAATGCAGAACAAATCAATCCACGTAGTAATAAAGAAATGGATAACATCTATTAGAATATAAAATTAATAATTTCTTTATAGTACGTGATCATTTTTTTTAATATTGTAATTAGATGTTAACACTAAATAAAAAGTTTAATTTATATTTCATCAAAAAAATTGATAATACTTTGCTATACTATGAATCATTGTGTAAGACTTATCTCACATTTTCAAATGAGAATATTAAAGCTCGAAAATAAAGTGAAATAAACAGTTATTGAAATTATTATATCATTCTCAAAGAATATGATAGACATGTATATTTTCATGAAAATGCTCGTAGTTGTAGATTAACCAAAAATGAATGGATTTTAAATGATAATATTTACATTCATTGAGTGTATGTTACACTTCCCAGTGAAATTCGAAAGCTTAAAAAACGTGTGTAATTGTAGAAAATTTTCAAAAATTTACGTTTTGCTTGCAAAATATTTTTCATGTCATTGTATCTTATACATAAAGATGCAAACTATTTCAAATATTCACAATTGTTGCATATAAATGCATGACTCTTATTCTTGCAAACAGTTGCATACAATACTCTTAGGTATTTGTGCAAGACACAATATTTTGCAAAAATAATTCACCACTTTTTCTTCTCATGTTTTTCTGCTATAAGATTACGTTCAATAGCCGTTAATAGTTTTAGGTAATACTTGTGGGTGTGGATATGAGAGGTACATAAACACCCACATCCACACCATCTCCTAAAAAATCAACTGATAGTGTTGATACCTCAGCTTACCTGCTCAAAAAGAATACGCGATATGTACATCAACATTATAACTGTATTGTTCAATAAATGCTTATCGAAAGGAGATTTTTTTTCGGCTGCAAAACATGCAAAAATTGTATGCATTCCCAAAGAAGGTATATATCCTACCCCAGATAGATTACGTCCAATATCATTACTTCTCAACCTAGGGAAATGCTCTGAAAGAATTATGCATAATCGTATTATTCTATGGTGTAAAAATAATAATATATACATAGATGAACAAACGAGTTTTTCATCAGGCAGAAGATTACAAACTAGAGTTGTATCACTTATTGAGGAACTGAGGATAACAGTTGCTGCTAACAACAGACCAGTGTCAGCAATCTTTGTTGACTTCTTATCTGCACTCGATCATATGTGGATACCTTTCCTCATAACAAATCTACACGATCTTCACATGCCGTTACCGATGCTAAAGTGAATATTTAATTGGTTACACAATAGATTCTTTAGTATCCACTTCGGTGATACGAAATCTAGGGTCGTACAGATGAAGAAAGGAGCACCCCAAGATTCAGTTCTTGCGGCAACATTATTCAGGCTTCACATTCACTTCCTTCCAACTTATTTTAATAATATTATAATCCACTTATTTGCCGACGACCTAGCTATTATACTAACCGGTGAACTTGAAAAGAAATTCTCGGAGAACATTAGGGAGCTTGAACAAAAAGCAGCAACAGCACTAAAACAACTTGAGAAATTCTCGGAGGATCTGATACTTTCGGTCAATGTGTCGAAGACAAAGGCAGTATTGATTCACAACATAGCATTCCCTCCATATCCGAAAATATTTTATAAATCTCAAAGCATAGAATTTGTTAAAAGGTTTAAATATTTAGAGGTTTATATATCAACTAAAATAGGATGGGATAAATATATCAATGAAAGACTACACAAAATAAATAAAATATATCATGCAATGAAAATCATATATAAAATGAGCAAAATGAAAGACATTAAGACCCGTAGAAAAATATTTCTAGCATATACTCTTCCTCATTATCTGTGGTTTTTTCCACATGGTTCTTCTGTACTGAAAAACAAAAAGAACATATTGAACATAACTACTGCTCAGGAATTCGAATTGTATACAAATTATACCAATGGGATGACTTAACTACATTCATAGTTGCCAGAGAGAAATCAATCCGTGACTATCTATTTGTGTATTGGCACAGACTGGTTCTACATTTGCTTAACTCCCCTGAAGCGCTAGCCTTCCAACAAGGATGGAATGCATACTTAATGATTACCTCCAACAACAATAAGTGGCTCAAGACAATGGGCTTTCGGAAGAATAGTGTTTTCTCCTGTAGATTGAAAAGAAAAGCAAGACACTATATGATTGACTAGATGGAATTCGATAATGTCCATATCAAGCATTATGACTATTTTAGAAGGTCCACCACTATGATAAACACATTCATCTTAAAATATTTCATTAGATAACGATGTGTTCGTCTTTTTTTCTTTGTTTTCTTCTCTTCTCGTCTCTTCCCCTTCTCTTATTCATTTCATTTTCCGATATGTTCGCTCTCCTTCTCTTCTTCTTTCATTGTCATCTTATTATTATCACCCCATATCCCTTGCGTAACACTATCAGTTTGTAACTTCGCGCTAACATAGGGGATTATAAAAACGTTGTGCTAAATGACTACGGTGTAGCTCTTCACTAACCCTTATCCCGATTGTGAACCACTTATAGGTATGATACAATAAACAATATATTTAAAAAAAAAGTCAACAGGGTAGGTGTGTGGGTGTGGGTGGAAGTCGGAGTGGGAGTGAGATTGGTTGAAGTGAAGATTTGCACCTACACTCAAACCCGCACTCATCAAAGCCCCACACCCACACGACAAGTTGACCGTTGAAAAGAAAAATATTACATCAGAACTATGATAAGTCATTCAATAATGTCAATAAAAATAACGTTATGTCAACAAAAAGTTTCGTTTCAATGGTATTTTTGAAAATGTTGCGCATGTAAGGATAGAAGAACGCCATTTCGATCCGTCTGTTTTTTTTTCTTGCGAAACTATTATTCACATTGAATAAAAGGGTGTGGGTGTGGGTATTCTTCATACTCCAATTGTAACTCAAAACAAAAGGATTTCTTACATATCTTCGTCTAAACTATTGCGTGATCAATAAGTAAATGTGCTGTTGGAGTGCAGAAGTGTTTGTCTCATTTGTCATCTATCTGCATTATACAAGTAAAGGAAGTTCTTGAAATAGATAGATCTAACCATCGCAATTTCCATTTACCTATCACAGCATCAAATATATTGAATAACTTCAACTCTTTGGACATTATTTCTTGCTTTGATTAGATAAGTCATTACGACAATCATGTTGACATAAAGGACAAACTATTTATTACATTCTTCTCAATTAAAGTTTGCACTTTTCTCTCTTTTGTTGTTCTACATATGTATAGCGTCATGTCTTTATTTAGCGTATGCGCAATATGTGCCTTGTATATTTGTGATTATGTGTGAGTCATATTGACGATATTAGGGTCGTAGATAGATATTTATATAGGAAGTTTGATACAATTGAGCATTGGTTTTATTTCATCCAATTGTATGCATTTTTTTCTCATGGTAAGACTATTGACTAAAAAATTCTTGTCGTAGATCTATTCAATTAAGCAGCAGGACGTATTCATCTGAAGGTCGATATATCTTGTCGCATATCGCGTCTTTTTACTTAAGATTCAGCTCAACAGAATCAACGATAGTATGATATTTTTAGGTGAAGATAAAATCATCGTATAAACGACAAACCGCTATTTTCCACCAGCTACTTGTTTTTACCTTTTACTTTTTGTGCTGTCTATGCATCGCTTTCTCAGACTCGATGTATCTTGAAAATAGGAACATGAATATACGAAAAGATAGTAAGATTATGTCGCTTCCAAATTCCAAAAAAAAGTGAAATTTAATGTACGTAACAGCTAGCATCTAATTGAACAAATAGATTGAATTTATTCTTGTGTTCACTAGAAATCTGTATGCTTTAAGTAGATCCATCATGTACTTCTTCAATTCAGATTTTGAACTTAACAGATGATTTTCTAATTTTAGACGTCATTCCCATGGTTCGATACATTGTTTGTGTCTTCGTATTAACATTAGTCACTCGCTAATTGGTCGATACGAAGTTCGGTAATGTAGTTTTTGCCCGTGAACCACCTGTAAACGGACAAAAACCTCAAATAATTGTATCTCGAAGCATTATTTTATATATTCCTGTAATAATGAACTCGGATTTCTCTACGCAAGGAACACCAACACAAAATAAATCGCGTGCGACAGAGACGGTATTCTATGAATACGGACTGAATTTCGATGAAAACGACAATATTAGCTCTTCGTGGTTCGACAAATGCCAATTTAATTGACGTCCGAATGATAACATGGACGATTTGGCTGATTGTGTTAGACTATTGGGACCACAGTGCTCAGGTGATATCATGACCAAGATATCAATAAAGAACTGTGCAGTGTCAATCTCCCTTCAATTTACGATCTTCCATGGTTATGTCCTACATCACTAAAGACGAGCAATCCATTCATGGATAAATGTCTTGTGTCATGATGGTGTTTTTATGATAAATGATACTACTCCAGCAGATTCTTCATCAACATGAGCCTATTATCAAAGTCCTCCTTCACTAATTTCAGTGTAATGGTATTTTTTTTTTATCGGAAGATCCATTTTCGGTTACGATTTGGGTCAGATAGACACCTACGTTTGTTTTTATTGTCATTTAAAAAGTAATTTGATATACTCTAGGTTATGAGTGTGCTTTTTCACAAAGCAACCCACACTCACACGATCATATTCATCAATGAATTAAGGAACAAATCTTCGATCGATAGAGTATACATAAGTAAAATATTGTCGCTTTAAAATGCAAACCAAACAACAATTGTAAATATAGAAGAAAAACTTTGTTTATTACAAAACGACATGTTCTACTCAGAAAAATATTAATATCCGGAATGGGAGATTACAAGAAAAAGGAAGTTTGGAATCGGATTCTAAAATTTATTTATCTATAAACTTACGTATACCGATTCTTTCAAAAATCTTTAATTTTTACTACGTACTATAATGAAGTTTTATAAAAGACAATATGTTCCAATTTATGTCAGTACATATTTAGAATCCAACAATTTTAAACACTAAGCATCTGTGTTGTTAAGTCTTTTCTATTGTTTTCATCAAAAGAAAAAAAAAAAAAACTTCTTTTGTCATTAATTTTTAGAAAAATATTCAGAACATATCGATTTAAAACCAGTAAACGAATCATGACTTTTAGGATATTATGCATATATATAGATATATATACAAATAATCAATAGAAGAAAAGACAATATTTTTACATATAAAAAGAATACAATCATTTTTCATCTTCTTTATCTTCTAAATGAGCAACACGAAATTCATTATAATGTTTCTTTCGTTTTAATTCAAATTGTTTTTTTCGTTCTAAAATTAAAAAAAAAAAGAAAGAAATTTTGTTTTTTTTGCTTTAGTGTAAACACTATATCAATAAAATCAAACCTTGTTCTTCCAATGTCAATGCATGTTCATCTACATCATGTTGATGATCACTTTCAACATGAACATGATGATGTTGATGATGAGAAGGTGATGTTGAATCTCTTGAATGATGATGAACTAAAATCGGTTTGATCGAATCATTTGATGAAGACATACTAATACTAATAAGAAAGAAAAAAAAAGAATCATTCTTTTTAAATACTATATATAAACTTACGTTCCACTTTGTTTGTCATCTGAACCCGATCCTGTTGCTTCTTCTTCTTGTTCTAGAGCACGTAATTCAGCTTCGATTTCTCTTTTACGTAATCGAACAACTTCAAATTCATTATAATGTTGTTTACGATGCTGTTCAAATTGTTTACGATGTTCTAGAAAAATTGTTTTTTATTAATATGTAAATAAAAAGAATAAAATTACAATACCTAATTCTTCGGAAGACATTCCAGCAGTCTCATCAATAGATCTTCGTGATAGACGATTAAAATCTAATTGAGATGAATTAGACGATGGTATTGAAGATTCATTTAGTCTATAAATATATATATATATAAATGTGCAATTAATAAAGAAAAATGATTTAAAAACCTTTGTACAAGTGTATCAGGATCAAAACCTGGCAATGTTGTTTCATCATTATTAACTCCAATATCCATTTCTTCATCAATATTATCATTTGGAGCATAAGGTGTTTTAGGTTCTTCAATTTTCATATGACCATAATCTTTATTAATTGGATGATATGTTGCAATAATATTCATTTCATCAAAATGTGGAATTTTTTGACTAAATAAAAAAAAGTTCAAATATGTCATCAAATCATTTATTTTAATATTGTTTACCTTTTACTTTCAGATCGTGTCATACCCGTTGTTGGATAATCATTTAATTTTGATATGATTTCTTGATTATTATCTAATCGACTTTCATCCATACTTTTCGATGATTTAAGAATACCTCGAACTGGTCGCATAGTTAAATTACTTACGGGATCATGTATTTCATCATGAAAATTTGATGACATTTTTTTTTGTTTTTTCTTCTATTTTCTTTACATCTAAAAGAAAAGAGATGTCAATTTTTTTTTTGTGTTTCATAATAAGTTAAACTAAGAATATGTGAAAGAACATAGAAATGAATAAGATGTTGAAAGAGAATAGAAAATTAAAGAGCTCAAAATGATCTAAGTTTTTCCGGTTTTTTCCTCTTTCTTAGTAGAAAAAAAAAAAAAAAATGGGAATAGATAATACTTTTTATTCTGTTCTTCTCTTTATGCTTTCCATAGGGAAAGATGGATAAAGAAAAAGAAAATTGCCTGAATACAAACATGAGAACAGACATTGATGAATTGTTATAGAGATGAATTGCAATCCTTTACATCCGTTTCTTTTTTTTTTTTTTCCTTTAGCATATAAGAACTATTTTTAGACTCTAATTTCAAGCCATGTTTACATGTGTGAATAATATTTGTAAATCATATTAATGAAATTCCTGGATAAATACATGAGTTATTATCATCATTAACTTTAGCAAGTAGATTTATATGATGAACACATATTTCACCATTGAATAGAATATGAACAACATTAATATGATGAATAAGACATAAATAATCAGCAAGTAATGAACGATGACATTGTTCAGGATTATTTTCTGAACACATAAGAACAAGAGAAGATGATGAAGAAGATAAAACTAATTCATTAACAATTTGATGAAATTCAATTCTTTGCATATGATCAGCATATCCATGTAAATCTGAATCTAATAAACCATTATTTAAATTTCCAATTGATTTATGTCGTCGATGACGACGACCACCTAAAATATCACCATAAAAAATATATTTGAAAGATGATCTTGGTAATAAACATTCTTCTTTTAATTGATCAATATTAAAATGTGGATAATTAGTAGATCGTGGTGAACGACGAATATCAATTATTTGATCAATATTATAACGTTTTAAATATGAAAAAAATGTTGATAAATCATGAGATGAATGTCCAATTGTATAAATTGTAGGAAGCATTTTTTTTTAGTTACAACAAGTCTAGTTAACACACGAACAGAAGTAATCAATGTTAATACGCTACAATCAATGTTATCTCTTCTATTGATTCTACTGTCATCATATCAATGGAATGTAGAGGTCAGATAAAATATTTTCATTTGTTAAATCAAAATAACCGATTGGAAATGTGATCAACTCATCAGTAAACATTCACAAAAAAAAAATGCCAATGTTGACATTAATCTTTTTTTGGTAACTCTATAGGAGATTTGTTCATGACCTTTTTTATCTTATAAAAGAAATCAATATAATAGATTGACTCAATAGGATTCTTTTCTAATGTAAAATTTCGAAATAGATTTGATTTTGTTTTAATATTGCATCAGATTTAATGATTATAAATATAATATAAATTCCGTTTTCTTTACTCTTTTAGATTATTTAAAAATTAAAAAACAATGGCTCGTGTACCAATTGATGTTGAAACTGAAATTGATCGATTTTGTAATAGTATAAAACAAGATACTTATACACGTTCAGTTGATATAGCTTTAGCTACTGTATATATTTTTAAAAAACTTATTGGAGAATCAAAATGGTCAAATGCAAGTGAACTTATTGCTCTTATACGTTCACAAGCTCATCGACTTAATCAAGGACAACCTGTTGATAGTATTACATTTAATATAACAAGGTATGTTAGATACTTCAAATATATGAATGAATTTTTTAACCTATCGTGGGATACAGTATTTATATATATATGTTTTTAAAGGCTGTTCCTAATTCATAGATGCACTCAAATACTTCACGATTTATGATAAGATAAAGAATTGTTTGTTTTTTTCTTTCATTTAGACGTATTTTAAAATTAATTCGTGAAGTATCAGGTCGAATAATTCATGGTAAAAATGAAGGTAGTGATATATCTTTAACATTACAAGCTGTTCTTAATGATCGTACAGCAACATCAACAATAAATGATGATGATAATAATAATAATAATAAAACTGAAGAAAATTTTCAACCTAAAAAACAACAAATTCAAAGTAATATATCTAATTCAATTCCTATAATTAATGTTGAAGATGAAGTATCTGTTCAACGACTTAAACCTGAATTAATGGATGATTTAAATTGGTATTCATCAGAAATTGAATTAAGTGTTAAAAATCTTTCACAACAAGCTTTAGCACATATTCATGCAAATGAACTTATATTAACATTAGGTTATTCATATACAGTTGAACAATTTTTTAAATATGCTTCAAGTAAAAAACGTCAATTTCATGTTTTTATTTTGGAACATGCACCTTTTTTTACTGGACATAAAATGGCAATAAATTTATCACAATTAAATATTCCTGTAACTGTTGTTACAGATTCAGCTGTATTTGCTATTATGGCACGAGTTAATAAAATTGTTATTGGTACACGTAGTCTACTTGCTAATGGAGGTTTAACAGCAAAATCTGGTACATATAATTTAGCATTAGCAGCTAAAAATTATAATGTACCATTACTTGTATGTGCACCAACATATAAATTTTCACCAACATATCTTCCATCATTTGATCCAGTTATGTGTAATAGTTTTCCATCACCAGAAAATATACTTTCATATGAATCAATATTTCAATCATCATTAGATATTATTGTACCTATGCATGATTATGTTCCACCAGAATTAGTTACATTAATTATTGGTAGTGGTATGGGTAATGCACCTTCATATGTTTATCGTATTGTTAGTGAATTATATAGTGCAGAAGATAATGATCTTGAACGTTTACAAAAAGAATCATTGAGATAATTTTTGTTTGTTTTTTTCTATTTTGCATGACATAAAATAAACATCAATATTTGTGTTTCGTTTGTTTTTATTCTAGATTTATAAGAATAATTATGTGAGACAAAAAAAAATATACTATGGCAATAGCTAATAAAAGTTTTTCACAAAAATCACTTGAAATAAAAACAAAATCAATTGAAACAACACTTGTACCACTTGTTACACAAATTTCAACATTAGTTAATTTTAAAGAAAAATCTCGACCATCATTAACAACTAATGAAAAAACACTTCAAGCTATTAATAGAGTAGGAGATGCTGTATATATGGCAGTTGAACGTTTTGTTTCTGTTGGTAAATATTCAATTTATTTTTGATTCTTATCTGTTTGTTACTATGAAAAAAAAAAAATATTAATGAATTTATTTTTAGGAGAATCTATTGCTAATGAAAATCTTGAAATAAAATCAGATTTAATTGATGCATGTCGTGAAGCTCGATCAGCTGGTATGTATAAAACAAAAAAAAAATATTTTTAATTAAAATTTTGTATTATAGGTGAAGCAATAAAACGAATAACTTGTATTGAATATGATACATTTGGAAAACCAGTTTGTATTACTGATAGACAAAGTATGATACAAGCTGCACGTAGTTTATTAAGTGCTGTAACACGTGTTTTATTACTTGCTGATATGATTGTTGTTAAACAAATAATTTCAATTAAGAAAAAGGTTTCAAAATAGATTTTAATTTGCAAAAAAAAAGAAAATACATTAATTATTATGTTATAGGTCATATCGACATTAAATCGACTTGAAACAGTAACATCATTTTCAGAATTTATTAAATTATTTGGAATATATGGAAGTCAAATGGTTGAATTAGCACATTTAACAGGTGATCGACAAAATGTAAGTAATAAAATCTATATAACAAAAAAAAAAGAAATGTTTGTTCTACTAAATTATATTTATTTGAAGGATTTAAAAGATGAACGACGTCGATCTCAACTTTCAGCTTCTCGAACTATTCTAGAAAAATCTACAATGCTTATATTAACTTCATCAAAAGTAATAATGAACTCTCTCAACAACTTATATCTAAGCTTAGGAATAGTTTGGTAAAAATCAATAAAGAATAATGAACTATCTTCGAGTTAAATATTACATAGTGATCTCTACTCAACTATATCTAATTTGAACTTTGAATACGTAGGACGATGTTTAACTAATTATAATGATTTTAACAAAGAAAACGTAATAGTTAAAATTTTGAAATTGATTAGAATTCTTTTTTTTTCAAGAGCATTATGAATTCTTCGTATGTAATGTAAAACAATTATACAAATAGCAACATGTAGGATGTGGCTATTCTTCGTATCTACATTCTAATTATCACATTTCTTCTGTTATCATCATTATTATAAGTGATAATATTATAAAATACATCGTAATCTCCTAAAATAGATATCTCTGTAATTGCATCGTATTTCACATTTCGATCGTTTAGGAATTCTATTAATAGATTTTTTTTTCAATGTTGAAATTCTTTTACATAGGCATATCTTCGTCATATTGAATGTCTTCATTCTCGTCAATGTCGAGATCTTGTTTATGATCAAGTTCGTCGTGCACTTGATATGGTTGGTTTAATAGTTTATGATTCAGGTTCAACAATACAAACAAATATTCCTACACTTACACTTCTACTTACTAAAGATGAAATTAATTTTATTAAATCATTAAGACAATTTGAAGTACAAAAAACAAAAAAAAAAAAGAAAATATTCTATTTTGGTTATTGTTTTTTTTAGTATGCAATTGAAATGTTAAATGTTTCCGTAACATCATCAACTACAGAACAACTTGAACAATTATGTAATAAAACTATTGATAATAGTCAAGATTTTACGGATTCAATTTATATAAGTATTGAACAAAGAGAAAAATTACTTGAATATCATAAAAAATTACAAGAACAACTTGCTGAAATTATTAAAATAATAATTAATATTAATAATGTTGAATCTTCATTAAAAACTGATGTTCTTTCATTATCTATTCAATCAATTCAAGAATTAGCACATGATTTTCGAAAATATGTAAATAAATTTACTTTTTTTTTTTATTATTTACAAAATTTAAAATTTTTTTTTTTTTTGTTTGTTTCAGTTAGAACAAATGGCTATATATCGTGCATCTGAATTTTTTCGTAC